CTTTCTCTCTCTCTCTCTCTCTCTCTCTCTCTCTCTTTCTCTCTCTCTCCCTCATACACAAATAGACACAGATACACATGCACACACACACAAACAAACTTATGTACAAACACACATTTGCGGCTTAAATTTCCCATAAGCTGTGCGTAATTCCCTGCCGATGCCTGATGCCCCTGTGGATGATCACAAACGGCGTCTCTGCGGTTGCAATTGCAGATCACCAGGGAATTCCCGAGCCAGCGATGGTTCTCGGGAAGGAACGGCGGAGGATTTCCTTTCCTGTGATCGCTCTCGTGAATATGATGTATAATTCTTGTCACTGCGAATCTCCTTGGTAATTTCTATCGTCTTCATTGCGAAAAAAAATCTCGCCTCGGTGCAGTCTGTTTATTTTTTTGTTATCATGAATATCAAGTGAAAAAAACGACACTGCAAAAAAGTCGTATAAAATAATAAATATAGGTGTTATAATCTGAGACAAAATAGCATCACCGAATCCCCTTTCCCGCCCTCCTCGATCCTCTTTTCCCGCCACTCCGATCTCCACTCTTGCATTTTTTCTTCCAGTATCAGCTGATAAAACAACGACAACAAAAACATTCCTACAAGACTGGAAAAAATTAGAATTCCATGACAGTAGATAGAGCATCGTACATATAAATATAGGTGTCATAATCTGAGACAAAAGAGCATCGCCGAATCCCTTTCCCGCCCTCCTCGACCCTCTCTTCCTGCCACTCCGACTTCGCCTCTCTGCAATCCCCTTTCTTTTTAATCAAATTTAAGTGAAAAAATCATTCCTACAATACTGCAAAAACTGAGAAATTAATGTCAGTAAATGCTTTAAATTGAAAAAGAAAACAGAAAACAAAAACAAATGAAAAAAATAAACAAACAATTAAAAACAAAACAGATATGCAAATTCTATCAAAGGAAAGAAAAAATGGGAAATAAAAAGAAATGAAAATTTAAAAAGATATCAGAATACAAAACACACACACACAATAAAGACGAAAGCGAGAAAAAAAG